TACACTCTGCCCTGGTACAAACTATTTTCTAGGTTTAGGTATCAGATCAATATACAAAAGTGTAAGGCCTTTGGGGAGATAAAGCAGCTTTTTCACCACCAATTTAATCCTCTAAAATCAATTCTTCCAAAAAGAAAAAGAATATTCAATTCCATTCCCATATCTACAGCTCTGGCCCAACACTAGACAGTGCTCCTTGAATTTGTAGATCACAGAAATGACCCCAAGAAAAACAGGATTCCTTCAAGCAAAATGGGGGCACTCACATGTAAATTGTCATGTTACCGCAGAAAACAGTCTACTTTGTAAACAAGACTGAGAACCCGCTGGGAAGGCCAAAAAGGTTTGGTCTTTTAGGGCCTTGGGAGAAAAATGCTCTTTACAAAAAATACAACATCGTGGATCCACACTACCACAAACCCTAAAGAACTATCCAACTTGCACATTTCTGAAGCCAAATATTGCTTAAAATTCTTAACCTTGGGGCTGGGGATTTAGCTCAGCGGCACAGTGCCTGCCTGGCAAGCGCAAGGTCATGAGTTCAATTCCTGGTACCTGAAAACAAACAAACAAACAAACAAAAAACCCAAAAAAATTCTTAACCCTGGGGCCACTAGCTAGTGATCTTTAAAATATAAAGATTTTGCAACACTGTCATAATGGAACTGGCCCTGCCTATGGCCCTGCCTATGGCCCAAGGAGAATGAATGAATGGTGCTTCTTAAACCGTAAATGGTAAAGAGGAAGGATTCAGACAAAAGGGGAAACAGACTTCCCGTCCTCTACAGAAGAAAGTGAGTATAAGCATCTGCCTGGCAAGCCAAGTTACTCTGACTCCAAATTCAAATTCAGTATATCTGGGAGAAAAAAAAAAAAAAAAAAAACAGAAGCTCAGTGAAATATTTCAGAGAAATATTTTCAAGTTACATCTTCTGAATTTAGCATGTTCCTGCAGGGCCACTTGCTCCACAAGTAGAAGATAAAGTTACCGCCAGCTCAAACCCAGGTTCAATATGGTGGAACTACAAATTACACTGATTGGAAAATGCTTCCATCCACCGAGAGCTGAGCTGCTCCCTACAATCAGAGAGGGCCACTTCCCGCTGGATTCCTGGTGAAACCACATCCCCGCTTTGTACATGAATGATTGCTTTTGATGAAACCGCACAGAGATCATTAATAAGCCTGTGTCAGGATACCAAATTGTAGGTACTCTGATTTCAGTTACAAGGAAAACAGCCAGTGAGAAAAGCCAGAAGCCACCCAGTAAGCAAAACTCGTGCTCCTGTGATGAAATGATGGCTGATTTCCTTCTTTATCTTAAACACATTCTGAAATAGTGGTATTTTTAAGTTTTTAAGCTGGGGCTGGGGATTTAGCTCAGCAGCACAGCGCCTGCTTGGCAAGCGCGAGGTCATGAGTTTGTTTCCCGGTACCAAAAAAATAAATAAATAAATAAATTTTTAAGTTGTCAGTACATGGTCTATGAATAACCTCACTGAACCCAAGATTTAAGCAAGCCCTTAAATTCACCCACGGATCACTGCCAATTCTAAGGCTCCACGGGCTACACAGCTTAACATTCTCCATCATTACTTTCTTTGAACTAACTTGCTACAGGGAGACAAGTAAGCAAAGAATCGCTACCACCCACACTCCCTCTGTAATATTACCTTTTTCTGAGATGCCTTAAACCTGTTGGGAGGCCGGGCCTGGTGGCGCACACCTGTAATCCTAGCACTCGGGAGGCTGAGGCAGGAGGATCGTTGCGAATTCGAGATCAGCCTGGGCTACAAAGTGAGCTCAAGGCCAGTCTGAACTACATAGCAAGACCCTGTCTCAAAAAAACCAAAAAAAAAAAAAAAAAAAAAAAAAACCTATTGGGGCACAGAAAACAACACCCCAAAGTGTGGCGTGTGGCATGCGTGGACTCTGAACTGGGGGACACGGGAAGGGCAGCAGAAACACTGGCTCCCTGACCTCCTCCTACTTCTTTCCCCCCAAGGCAGCCAGAGAAACTAGGATTCCTCTTCCCTGGGCCATGTCACAGAAACCTGGCCCCTCTCCCCAAAGACACGGTACCTGCAACTGTCCCTCCAGTCTTGTCCGCCTCCTGTGTGGGAGCCGGCCCTGGAGGAACACTGCACCCACCTGTCTGACAGCAGATCTTAAGACCCTGGCTCCAGAGGCCCTGGCCCCACCAGGAGAAGGAGTGCGTGTGACCCAGAGGGCCAGGAGGAACCTGAGATGGTCTCCCAGTCTGTTCCCCAGCTCGAACCCCAGGTCTGGTCACATTTCTGCATGGCTGTCCAAGCCTCACTGGATCTGAGCATAAAAATGAACAGTTTTTCTTGGAGTTTTCAGTCTTCATTTCAGAAGATTCCTATGTCTTGTAAAATTTTGTTCAAATCAACCTGTTATGCTTTTCTACAGTTGATTTATCTTTGTTACACAAGTCTCTTGGCAGCATGGAAGAGGTTACACTTATTCATCCCTACAAGCCCAATAAAATCAGACACAATTCTTCTGCTGAAGCAATCTGTGGCCCAGGGACAAATTCCATTAGATCCAAAGGTGTTACCGCCTCTGTCCAGAGTGTCAACCCAGGCTTAAACAATAAAATAAAATGATGAGGAACCAGGAAAGTACCACTTGACCTCAAGTAACAATTCTAAGGCAAGGTAACACCAGTCAAGCCCAGATCAAGCCATATGTCCAGAGACAGCAAAAACATGTGTGGGATAAAGAAATGAAGAATTAAGGCAGTCTATTTACCTAGTAAGATAGGCCACCTGGCTCCAAGGGCCATTTTCATGGTAGTAAAAACAAAAACAAAAGAACAAGTCACAGTGCCAAAACTCCCTGTCTTCCTCTTATAGAGTCCCATGTTTTCACTCTCAGTAGCTATGAAGACATTCATCTTCCAGATAATTTTGTGCCCCTAAGGGGCCGCAGCCCTTTTCATCTCCGGTCAGCAGGGATGATCAGATTAAGGGCAGCAAAGCGCACAACTTATCATTTTGAAATCAGCTTAGGCTGGAAATGGCTTCTAGCCTTTCCTCTCATGGGTCCTCTTTCATTCGCCTTGGCCTTGGGCCTGGCTATGCCCCCTCTGCAGTTTTGCTGAGTGAGACCTTATGCTTGTTTGAAAGTGTTCACACTTCAGCTTTTCCATGAAACTTCCCCTAACTCTGCTCCCTCCTTCCCACTCTCAGGCACTTCCCCAAGTTAAAAGGGTTTTAGTAAGCACTATCTTTTTCATCTGTGTTTCTACTGTCCACCCAGATCATAAGCCCCTCAGGACCAGGAGCCATTTCCCCTGTACCCTTGACAAGGTGGCATTTTATTTCTCCACAATCACCCATAACAGAAACTGAAAGAAGAACAAAGAGCAATGTATTTGCCAGAGACAAGGAATTACTTCAATATAGTATTTTAGAGACTTAAAAACCGATCCTACATCAAACACTGAGCCACTTCTGCACAAAAACACTACAACAAGGATACTTTTTCAAATATGAATGAAAGCATCCATTATTAATGCCTTAAAGTAACAGGAATGAGGGAAGATGGCCCTTTCCCAGAGTGGATCTACAATAAATGTTTCTTAGAGAATTGAGTGCACTTTTAGATGGCACAGTAAGGCTGGCTGTGAGGAGATTCAAGTGCTCTATGGGAGTGACTCCATGCCAGGTAGAGCAAGTCACCCTCCCCCTGGATCTTGATCCAAATGATAAAACCAAACACTGGAGGGATTCCAAACACCACCTTGCGCCTTTCTCTACACGAATCTACAAGCATCCGGGTTAGTCCCAGTCTACAACAGCCACTCTGAGAAGACTGGGGTGGGATGGTCCAGCGGAAGCCATCAAGCACACATGTGTGTCAATCGTGACTTTCCTGAAGAGGACTCGGGTTCCATGCAGCCCTTGAGCCAGCTCCAACTCACCAAGTCAAAGGGAGGGATACCTTCCCTAAGGGAAGTCTGGAGGTGGCTCACAAGATCTTGTGGCTTCCAGAAACTGGATTTCCAATGACCGCAGCTTAGACTGATATCCAGAGACACCAGCTCCACTCATAGGCAGTACAAAGCCAAACCAGGAAATCAGGGAAAGTCCAGCAGGCCTGATCCCTGAAGCACGGCCCTTCCAGAATACCCATGTCCCCATCAACCTCCTCTACCTCGACCAGAGCTGCGAGCACAACACCCTGCCCAGATCCACAATGCCCTGGAAGCCAGAGAGGAGGTGGCACTTGCTTGGCTTGGCAGGCAGAGGTGATGCCCACTTGTGCCACCGGTCCCCGCCTCTCTCACCAGCATCCAGCCCGCACCAGGACCGGTGGAAGCCTGGGCTCTGAGCTGGCCACTCCCACGCTGCCTAAGGTTGACCTGGAGCCCGAGCTCATTTCGCCTGGGTCCTCGACTTTCAACCAGGGCCCCCCTGGTGTCCCCGGTGGGTGATCCCAGTTCCCGCGAGGAACTCATTCGTCAAGAGTGATGCCCGCGCCCCCCGAAGTCCAGCGGCGGTGTCGGGAAACTCATTGGGCTTTTTGTTTGTTTGCTTTTTGTTTCTGAATCCCCGGTGACGATTCTGGAAACCCCAACACGGAGACCTACAGCCACGGCAAAGAATCGCGCCTTTTCCGGAAAAGCTGGCGGGGGGGTGCGGCGCGCTCCTCTCCCGGGAGGGGGATCCCGCGAACAGGCAGAGCACGCGACCCCTCCACACGTGGCACGAGCGCTCGGCCAGCTCCGGGACGCGGGGGCCGAACACCACTTGCAACGTGGCGGAAAGAGCCCCGGGAGGACGTGGCGGAACGAGCCCCGGGAGGAAGGACCCCATGCCCAGCCTCACCCTGCCACGGCGTCTCACGGCCTCCCGGAAGCCCCCCGCCGAAGAAGCGGCCCCGGGGCTCCCGACAAGTGTCGAGGATCCCGCTCCGGGAGCTCCCCGGCCTCCTCACTCCCGCCCGACCGCTGGCCCCAGCGCCGCACTCACCGCCGCCGCGCCGCCTGTCGAACCGGGAGGTCTGCGTGGAGCTCGCAGGCTGGCAGGAAAAGAGCTCGGGGGCGGGGCCGGCGGGCGGGGGCGGGGCTGAGCGGACAGGGGCGGGGCTGAGCGGACAGGGGCGGGGCTGCCCGCTTCTACCGCCCCCGCCCGCCGCGGAGGACCCACCGTCCCCTACCTCGCACCTGTGTGACCCCCTCGCCCAACCCGCACCCAGGGCCTTGCCAGGCGCTACGGGCTTTTCCCTGCGTCCTCTGATCGCCCCCTGCCCTCAGGACACTCCCACGTCACGCCCAGACTCCGCCTGTAAACCCAGAACACCAAGTTTCACCCCAGGGCCCCTCCCGCGGGCTTCAAAACCCCCCCTTGGCGGGTCCCAGTAGATCCCCGGTCGAATTCTGCCCACGTGCCTCGGTCCCGACCCAGTGTCCAGGACGCCCTGCCGCCCCTCCGGATTCCCCGCTTTTCCCGCTCCCGGCCCGGCTGCCGCTGCCCCTCGCGCGTGCGCCTTCCCCTCTCTGCCCGAAGACACGCGGACCACCAACTGCGAGACCCGAGCGCTTCCGCCGCACTGCACCCTGGAGGGAGGCGGGCCCTCCTCTCCCGTAACTGAGCTCCGTAAAGACAGAGCTCCGGACCCTCTGTGCCTTTGGGCACCTAACCCTTCCTAGCTCAGTCCCCGGTCTGTAAAAGGGGCCGGACAACAGTACCCAGGCCATAAAATCTGAGAATGAACTGAGATGGGGTGTGTGCGCAGGGGCTGGCACAGAGTGTTTAATAAAGCGTGTGTGCCCCCTCGCTAAAAGCACCGGAAACCTACATGGTCCCACTTGCCTATCAGCCAGGAGTCCCACCCCCTGGCACAGCCAGAATGCAGCCGCGAAGAGATATGGAGCTTTGAAGTAGAGTCCTGCGGGTAGACTGACCCCTGCCACGGCCATCGAGAGAGAAAGGCCCTGTGGGCAGGGAGCCTGCAGCCCCAGAGTGAATCAGAGACCTGGATCTTAGGGCTGGGGATGGAATCCAGGGCCTTTACACTGAGACCCTGAAGATACCGAGACCCACGCTGGGTGGCCATGGTGGCACATGCCTGTCATCCCAGCCACTCTGGACTGAGGCAAGAGGATTACACGTTCAAGGCCAGCCTGGGTAATTCAGCAAAACTTCATCTTACAAAAAGAAGAAAAATACGCTGAGACCCAGAGGGATTATGGCTATCCAAGTTCCCATGACAAACTGACAGCTCCATCCCAGCCCAAAGTCTCTGCACCTTTCAACCTGCCCAGGCAGCCACCATAGCTATGACATACTACTCATTGGACAGGTGGTGTTTCAAGGTCCTCCCAAGCACAGGGAGTTTGTCAGGTAGATGTTATGAGTGAGGGTGACTTTTCTTCATTTTAAAAATGCAGAGGACTGGGCGTTGCGGCAACATCTATAATCCCAGCACTCTGGAAGCTGAGGCAGGAAGATTGAAATTTCAAGGCCGAGTTTGGGGCCAGCCTGGGCTACAAAGTGAGCTCAAGGTCAGCCTGAACTGCATAGCGAGACCCTGTCTCAAAAAGACAAAAAAAAAAAAAAAATTTCAAGGCCAACCTGGGCTACATAGTTACATAAGGAGAATCTGTCTCAAAATAATAATAATAATAATAATAATTAATTTTATATATACATATGAAATTAAATTAGCCATGCTCCATTCTCAGGGTGCAATGAACATGAGCAAAGGATCAGTTACCTGACATTGAGCTAGAATATCAGGCACCATTGAGAAGGAGACACAAACCTACAGAGAATCTCTCTGCAAAATGTTGAAGAAGCTGGGCATGGTGGGGCATGCCTATAATCATAGCATTCTGGGAGGCTGAGGCAGGAGGATGGCAAATGGGAGCAGAGCCTGAGCAACTTAGCAATTTGCCAGGACTCCATCTCAAAATATTTTAAGGGGCAGGGGGCTGGGAATGAAGGCCCTGGGTTTGATCTCCAGTACTGGGCGGGGAATGGGAGAGAGTTGAAAAGAAAAAACAATTTTTTTTCTTCTTTCCTTTTCTTCCTTTCTTCTTTCCTTCCTTCTACCTTCACTTCTTTCTTCAAAGGGAAAACCAACAGCAGGCACTCATTTCCTTGAACCTTTTATTGAATGCTACTAGAGCTTCATTCATTTTTCTCCTCCTATTCTTGAGCCACATGGGAGCCAGTTTTGCTTTTCATCTGTCTTAAACACTAACCATAACTGTGAGCTTGCAATTACTTATGGAAAGAGCTATAAAACTATAACTCTTTTTAATCTCTGAAAACCCACAAATATTGAATTTCCAACCCAAAGCTTCCAAGCAGGGAGCAAAAGGAAACTGGCCACATGACCATCTAGATGGAAACAGAGAAAACATCTCACAGAATCCAACACCCTTTTGTGAAGAAAGTGCTCCAAGAGCCGGGAGCAGAAAAGGGAGCTTCCTCCTCCTGCTAAGGGAATGGGGACAGCGCCACAGCCACCAGTGCACTCAGTCAGTGAGCTCCAGAGAGCTGCAGCACGGGAGGCAACATTCGCACATCATTTCTCTGATAAGGGCCACGTATCCAGATCCCATAAAGAACTTCCACAACTCAACAGTAAAGAGACAAATGACCAAATTTAAAAACAAGTACTGAGCCGGGCGTGGTAACACACGCCTGTAATCCCAGCACTCAGGAGGCTCAGGCAGGAGGATCATTGTGAGTTCAAGCCCAGCCTAGGCTACAAAGTGAGCTCAGTGCTAGCCTGAACTGCATAGCAAGACCCTGTCTCAAAAAGCCAAAAAAAGAGCTGGGCTTAGTGGTGCACGCCTGTAATCCGAGCACTCGGGAGGCTGAGGCAGGAGGATCGTTGCAAGTTCGAGACCAGCCTGGGCTACAAAGTGAGCTCAAGGTCAGCCTGAACTGCATAGTGAGATCCTGTCTCAAAAAAAAAAAAACAAAAAAAAACACCAAATAATAATAAGAAGATAAAAAGTATTGGGAACGTGAAAAAGTTCTGGAGAGAGATGGCAGTGATGGCTGCACAACAGTCAGTGTGCTTCACACCATTAAACTAGATGCTTTGAAATGGGTAAATGGATAAGCTTTGTGCATACTTTAGCAAAGTGAAAAATTAGAGTCAATTAAAAACCGGTGAAGCACTCAGATAAACTGGGCATGGTGGAGGACACTGTACTCTCGGAACTCTGGAAGGCTGAGGCAGAAGGATAGAAATTTTGATCCCAGAGTAAGCAACTGGAAACCCTGTTTCAAAGTAAAGAATAAAAAGGGTTTGCCGGGCATGGTAGTGCACACCTGTAATCCCAGCACTGGGG